AAAGCCTTAGGACTATCAAGCCAGCATGTTATAGAGAAAATTTCAGGAGAACAGTGATTCATCAGGACCTAAAAGAGCATCTATTGCCTTCAAAACTGGAGGGTCGTGGGGGTTTTTTTAATCCTCTTCATGAAACTACACTCTGCCAGCAGGCTGGGCAATCCCTTCAGCCATTCAGACCTAATACTTTGCTGTAAGGGTGCTTACGGACATCGCAGAGGAAGGGGGCAGAAAAGCAGCAGATGGGCCAACAGCAGTGCCTGCATTTCCAGTGAAACACATGAAGGGCTTGTTGTACAGATGGTGGGTGCAGAGGAACCTGGCAGGGAAATAATGGATCTGCCCTGGCTATGAGAAAAGCAACTCAGGTCAGTCAGAGCCTAGAAGAGACATATAGCCTACAGCTGGTCTCCAAAAAGCAAAGTGAAAAATGTTACGTAGTGTCAGAGAAGTGGAGCTCACTCAGCATGTGCTTGCAGTGCATGACCATAATGAGATCACTTGTCCAGGACAAACTCAAAAGGGAGAATGAATGATTTCTGGGATACAGGAGGGAATTGAAAGAGATTGAATATTTCAGGAATTTTTGGTTGCTGAAGTGTTTTCTAAAGATCCCTTTGCTACCCAGATACATTCCTCAATTCTTACATCAAGGTTACCGCATCATTATTCATTTGCTGGTGTAGAAACGCATCTGCCTTGTACCCAAACTCTCCCTCGTGTGACTTCACCAATATTAGTTGAGTTATGCGGGGGGATCAGTTTGGCCAATGGACACCACTAGAGGGATCTCAGAAGTTTGAACTAAGAACTGGAATAGGTGAGATTTCTACCTCTTATGTGCACACTTATAAACATCAGATGTACTCAGCACTGAAACAAGTGAGGAAAGAGGCAGCTGCAGGATCAGAGACATCCCCAACAGAAATACCTCTGGGCAATTACACTCCCTACGGCACTGACCCTTCAGCACAGGTCACCTTTCTGGGCAGGCTTTCTGCGGAATCCCCGGAAGACTAGTTATGACCATCAGCTTCAGTCTTCATGCATGGCACCTGCTTTGGCACTGAGCTATTCAGAATTGGTTCAAAGACTTGCAATAACAAAATGTGATGGATGTAAATCACTTGCCTGCACTTGTGTCAGATGAGGGAACACAATTTGCTTGTGCCATGTTATCTTACAACTCTTTGACTTCCAAATGCAGAGCGACACTACCAGAACTAGTTTTAGCTTCTGTAAATTCTCCTTGTATACAGATACATATACATGCACAGTGCTTTACACGTGCACAGGGAAGATCCTAAGGATATGTTTTAACTTTACACTAAAGACCAGCAGTCATGCAAATTATCACCAGCTGAGGGTTTTGTCCATCCAGGATAGAGATTTATTCTAATGATAGTGCCTGTCAGGCTTGAATAAAGTCAGGGCATACTTTTATTCCTTTTTTTTTTTTTTTTAAACACCTTTGTGCTATGAAATTTTCATTGAGTTCTAATACAGCTACATGCTATGGAAGATATTCAGTAGCATATTCTGTGAATAAGCCAGACTGGAGAACTTGAATGACCACAAACCATACTGATTCTATTGCTCTGCTTGCTCTAGACAGAGAAAAATGAATATGTAAGTTCTGCTGATGCTGATACCATGTTTATGAAACAATGGAAGTTGACTCTTCTAAAAGCTGAGCCAAAAAAAGGTAAATATGAGTACATGCCCCCAAATTGAAAAGGAGAAAGCTCTGTGTGAATGGCCCTGGACACTACACTCTGGGTGACCAGGTACTCAAAGAAGCTTACTTATTCTCAACAAAGTTATTGTTTTCAGAGAAGCACAAACTGAAAAGCGATTCTGTGGGATCCAGCAAACTCTTAGGTGAAATAGCATTTTTTTTTCTGTGTCAAAAAAAGTCAATCCCCTAAAAATATCTGAAAGTCAATTAAGCCAAGTGATAGGACCCGTTCAGCTCTACAGCACTGGATCATTCGTCTTTTGCCGTTCTTCTCCCTCTGGCAAGTAGCATGAATCACTTGGTTCATTTATCAGAATAGATTCTCCTTCTCAGTCATTGTGATCTGTATCAAAGATTACTGCCATTTCTGCTTTTTTGTTTACTTTTATTCCAATTATTGCACTGGCAATAGGTGCTGCACAAACACAGTGAGAGGCAATCTTTCTCCTGAGGACCTTTGTTTAAACAGACATGACAGCAGACAGGCAGGAGAGGCAAAGAGCTGTCCCTCCCCTGCTCGGCCAGGGAACATTTCTGCCACCCTGAGCAAGGAGCACGTCAGAGCAGAGCTGGAGGGAAGCCACATGTACCCAGACCAGGGTCAGTGCCCTCATCTGGTGCTAGCCAGAATATTGTCTATTATCTGTATGGTAAAACTCTTCGCGTTAGAAAATCCTCTGCAATAGGTTAGAATAAAGAACTGTTTTCTGAGCAGACCTGGAATTCTGTCTGCTTTTAGGGAGGCCTGGCCTCAAAGGAGAACATGAATGTATACAGCAGTTGCAAGTTTGCATTTTTAACTTTCATGCTGTAAAAACCTGACATGCATAGTCCTTTTTTTTATTTGGTGAGAACTGCTGTAACATACAAGCCTGCGATGGTCTATTGGAAACAGACCCCTGACTAGGAAATAGAGAGTTTAGATGTTATTAGCTGCTAGTAATTTATTATTTTGATATTGGCATATATTTTGGCAAAGTTAAAGTTGGCTGGAGTGATAGTGAGTGATGAAAGATGTTATGGCAGTTGAGAAGTGGCTGAATCCCTTTGTTTCCAGACTCCTCACTTTTTTTTAAGGCGCAGAATGTTTATATAGAAAGTGTAATATTGTTTTATGAGTATTTGCTGGACCCTGCTAAAACCAAGCATTCAAGATTTACTCTTTTAACAAAGTGTATTGTTATGGAATACCTCTGGGTTTTGATGTTTCTAAATTAGGGTTAAATCAGGTTGGTATGTGGGCGCCATGGGACAACAGCCCAGAAGTGAGAAACTGTCTGAGGTCTAACAGGGTGCAGTTCCTCTCCAGAAGGTGATGTGCTGGCAGGAAGAGAGAGGACTCCTCAACTGGACATGAAGAAGCCATAACACAGGGGCACCAAAGGGGGAAGAAGGGGCTTTTAAGCACTGGGAAAACTTTCAGCATGTTAAGAGTTTAACATCTTTAATGCAAGACCCTGCCTGCCCCTAGTCTGCTCTCTGGGCCACCAGAGCCTGCTTGTTTCCCATGTCTCACTTGATCATCTGGGACACATGAGCACTTTTAGCCCCTATAAACTAGCATTCTTCCTTCCTGGTCATCTCTATTTCCCCCTCCAAGACTGTGGTATATGATGAGCCATGATACACTTAGGAAACACATTCTCATTTTGGATATTTCTCTGTACATTTCCTCTATATTTATCTCCTCCAAGTCGGCTACTCACAAAACTCATTGGCTTCCTGCCCTCAGCTTGGCTTACTAAACCCTGGAGCCAGGCTCCAGCCTTTTTGTTTTTACACTAAGGGACAGCCTGCGTACAGAGCTGTGAGCCACAGGATACCAGGACATTGTAGCAGCACAGAGAAAACTTTAAACCATTAAGAAATGGAAGCTGCTAAAGCATACTCAACTCAGCATTTCTTTGCTGTGAGCCATTGCATCAGGGCTTCCTGCAAGGTGAGTACAAGTAAAAAGAGCAGAGTCTCTACTAAAGCTAGGGAAAACCGACTCCAGACTAACTCACAAAGCTTATTAAGGACCAAGAGAGTCAATTTGCTGATTGTGTCATGCAGTCTGTGTTGTGATAACTTTCTGAGTCTGTATTCTCCCATTTAATACTCTACTTTAATGAAGACCTCACATAACGCTTCTACTCTGCTCCAGCCTGCTCGCATTATAGTCTTCATAAACTCCTTTTCCCAAGTAGCATTAAGCACTTCCAGTCTTCAAAAAGATGAAGCAAAGGTTATCTTTCCTGCCCTAGCAATGCTGGAGAGCAAATGAGCCAGTAAGGAAAAAGCAGGGGGAAGAAGCAAAAAAGAAATTTAAGAACAAAGCATATGAACCCTCATCCCTACTAAAATAAAAGACCAAACAGCCAGTGGCTTCAACAAGGTAAGCATTATACCTCCAAGCTATACAATTATTTTTATTTTTTTTTTCACCCCCCTAAACATACATATAGATTTAGCTTAGCACTGTGAGGCCTCAGCTGGAATACTTTTCACAGTTTTGGGCACTGCACTTCAAGAAAGACATGAACCAACTGGAGAGAATCCAGATGAGAGCAATGAGAATGATCAAAGGTCCAGAAAATGTGATGTATGAGGAAAGACCAAAAGAATTGGGTTTGTTTAGACTAGAGAGAAACAGTCTGAGGGGAGACATGACAACAGTCTTCAGACATGTTGAAGACTGCTGCAAAGGGGAAAATAAATTGTTCTCTATTTCTACTGGAAGTAGGCTAAAAAGCAATGGATTTAAATTACAACAGAAGAGAGTCAGATTAGACTTTAGGAGAAACTTTCTATTGGTTACAGCAGTTATACCTGAGAAGACGTTGCCTATGGAAACTGTGGGATCCCATCGTTTGAGGTCTGGGTACTGGTACAGTGGGGTCTGCTTTGAGGCAGAGGCATGAACAATAAGACTGGTCCAAGTCTTTTTCAGCTTATTTTCCCCAATGTTAGGAATATAGGACAGAGACTGAACGTGAACAGAACAAGTCATTTTTTTTCTGAAGGAATTTGGACAGGTCTGAGCTGAGTGGTCCTTGAGCAGATTAGTTGCTGCCTTAACTACAGTTAGTATCACTACCTTATAAGCACTACAAACTGTTTGCAACTACCACACTCAGGAAAACAGAGAAAAATAAAATTCTGATTCTCATCTGCTCTAAAGTCCCTGGACACTATTCTGGCAGTGGAGGCCTGTGTCAAAGAGTCTGGGTGTAAATAAGCATAACATCCTAAACATTGTAAAACATACCAACCAGTGATAGATTTCTAGGAACTCTGTTATATAGAAAGATTTAATACAGGAAGGAACCCAAACATGTGACGCTTTGTTAGAAAGTAGAAGATTACATAGTACAACACGTATTTTGGAATGAATTTACAATGAATTTTAACTATAAAATAGAATCAAAGAAAAAACAGGTGAAACTAAGACAAATGCAAGGTGAATTGAAACAAAGTGCCTGACAGAAAATTCCAGAGATAATTGGGAATGTAAGTTAGTACTTCTGAGATCCCTTGTTTCAATAGGTGGCTTTTTGTTTCTGTTTCTGCTTGTTTGTCTGCTTTCCATTTATGATGAAAAAAAAAAGAAAAGGCAAGATTGCAAAAGCCAGCTTTTTCCTCAGTTTCTTTGGTGCTTTTTGCTAAGCAGCCTTGGAGCTACAAAGGTTCACAGTCTTTCAAACATAGACTCATACCCTAGAAGTGTTTACAATGGAAAGAAGAGTCCTTAAAATATATGACCACATAGAGAATCATATGGGATCTGCTGACTGATACATCTTCAAATGTCTGCATCCTGGTAGGGACTGTGCATGAAGAGGCCTCCCTCCTCAGACAGGCATAGGTCACCGGGTCAGTGGAAATACTGCTTTGGTTTAGAGCTGCTATACGTACTGGCTTCTGAGGAGAGAGTTCTGCAGAGGAGGAACCGTCTCTTTTGTTTTAATGTTTCCAGGGCACAAACTCAAGGTTTAGAAGGAGTACTGTGATACGTATATCCTCAGCCGGATGACAGAGCTTCCTCTGAAGTTGATGACGGTGTTAACAGTGATCATTTCCAAGTCCAACTGAATAGTACGGGGCCCCTTCACAGGGCGGGTCATCACCAGAGTAGCACTGATCGGTCCCGTTTGCTGTGCACAAAACAAGAGGAAACAGGTGAGATTTGAAAAAACGGCTCTTGAAAACTATCACCTCAGGTGAGACCACATTATGGCCATGGTCCCTGAGCAGCCTAAATAACACTGTTTTCTGCAGCATTGTTAGAAGCTACTGCAATTCACAGGAGAGGTGCTTCATTTCAGCTTCTGGCTCCGTTTCAGTGTTTTGTATGAACTATCACCTTCTACAGTTTGTAAAGCCTTTGGGAGCCCTGCACATAAAAGGAGCTATTGAACGTAGAAATTTGCTATTGTCCAAATGGAAAAAGATGAGAACGTGGATTTAGCGTATGCACAAGCAGTGACACCTTTTTTTTTTTTTCTTTTGCACGTGAGATATTATTTGATGTAAAGAGCACTGTTACTTTGAAGCAGCAAACACCAAGAAGGGGTTATGTTAACAGAGCTTGGAGAACAGATGTTCCTATGTGAACAGGATCGGGGTTTGTTGTATAATTGCGTATGTTAAGGTTGCAAAACCTTACCCTCTGCAGAGAGCTTTAAATCTGTGAAGGCCCTTCAGAAAAATCTGTCTTTTAGTAAGTGGAAGCAGACTTTTGGAATATCTGGCCAGAACGGTGGATTACGAGCATTTACAAATCAGACCTCCGGACATTAAAACTGCACGCACTTTGTTTTCCAGCAGAAACACGAAGCGGGACCTGTTTGACCTCCGCGAAGCGGAGCGTGTGCGTGTTCTCTGATGAGAGGAGGTCGGCAAAGCCGTGAGGAGGAGCCGGGGGGGCCGGGGGCCGGGGCGGGCGCTGCTGCCTTGGGCCCCGGGAGCCGCCTCCCACCGATGGGATCCCTCATGACTTTGCAACAGGAAAGATCTTGTGAGATGCAAGTGATTGTTCTTGGACCGCTTGTCGTTCCGGAATTTTGAAATGCTTTCTTTTTTCAACAGTGAGAATCTGAGGCTCTCAGGAGAAATGTGTATTGGAATCTACTGAAATCCATCACGCTACCGGTTTCTGTGAGGCATGGGAACTATCGATAGCCGCTGAACATTGCTTAATGTGAATATCAAAGCCAGGTTTTGCCTAGAGTTAAAAATCAACCTTCTGAATGCCACCATCCCTGGTGGCTGTGCCTCATTCTGTCAGACACTTCCCATCACCCCTGCGTGTCAGAGGTGCAGCGAAGGTGACTGGGGTACACAGATGTCTTCTGAGGAAAATTCAGATTAAAAAAAAAAAAGTAGTTGTGTTTTCTCTAACAGTGTCTACATCAAATGTGCATTCTCAGTGAAAAAAACACATAATAAATGAAAGAAAAGAACCCAGAAAGTAAATTCTTGGGACAAAGGGGTGGGGGTGTGCATGTGCTTACTGTTTTGGGTTTTGGGTTTTTCACTTCCCAATGAAGAGTTTAATAAAACAAATGAGAAACGGTGACTCTTTCAGTGACAATTACTGATTGTCCATCAAATAAAAAAAGGTTTGGTGCAATAGTTTCTCTTGAGCATGGGAGACCTGAGCTATTCTTAGACATGCATACAGCCCTGGACTTTCCTGAACCTAATGTCTCATAAAACAAGCGTGTTTGCTTTGGGTAGGTTGCCTTCTTGAAAGAGCCAGCAGCCCCTGCAGATCAGCACACCGCTCTGCATGTCTGCATGTAAAAATGCCTCATACTGAAGGTTTAAGTGATATTCATTAAAAACTGAGTTCTGCTGTCAGAAGGATATTCAGCTAACAAGAAGATACTCCGTGTTTTCTCTAAGTGAGCGCCAGACTTACCCGCATGTAGAATTCCCTGCCCTCGTTCCCTGATTTGATTTGGAAGATGTAATAGGCTCCAGGGTAGCGAGTTGTTGCTTGCATCTGAAAAATGTCAGAAGGCACAGACCGCCCGGACACCATATCCATCACTCTGTACAAGATGGTGAATGGCTGATCTCTGCAACCGGCGTTTTCAGCTGGACACATGCAGCGGCTAATTGTCAGAGATAGGATTGTCATCAGGGGTTACAAATTGCTGTAATATTTGATTTGTTATATGCAAATACAGCTGCATAAATGAATAAACAAATAATGTTGTCAAACAGCTAAAAGAATCAATGAAATTTATAATGAATTTTCTCACTTTTAGTATTCTCTGTGTTGCTATTCTGGCCTACCTATATCCCTGCCTTCTTTTTCTTGTCTTCTAGGCCAAAATATCTTGGCATCTTTTGTCTCTTCAGATCACTCAAAAAATCTGTACTTTCTTTAAAGCAGCTCTGCAGGTATAGAATACCCAGTACGTGTTTGTTCTGATACTAATTTAAACTGAACTGTCCCCAAAATAATGTTAATTATTGGATCATTTCACTGATGGTGCTACATAAATGTTGTACTCTTTGTTTAACAATCTTTTATATACTACATGAATACATACAGGGAGACATCCTGGATCAAACCAAAGTTCTAGCATCAAATGCAGAACTCTAAGGAAGAACAAGATACCAAGTCAGGCGTATGACACTTCCACCAAAAGCCTCCAAAGATGTCTTCTGTGTATTCATCAGCCCTTAATGCATTTCTTATCCATCAGCTTGTCCAGCTTCCCCTTACACCCACATGAATGTTTGGCATCCACAGCCCCTGCGGCCAGGAGCTCCACAGCCCCCTTCACCTCTCTCTGCACTGCCCCATGCTGACTTTGTCTGATGCTCCCAGCTCCTCTGTTGAAAGGAGAGCAGCCAGTCAATCCCTGCTCATCCTCCTCACGCAACTCAGGGTTTCATATTTGACCTCTTCATGGCTGAAGAGTCCTAACTTAGTTATTTCTCACAAGGAAGCTATTCCATACTTTTGATCATCCTCATTGCTCTTTATGAACCTTTGTCCAGTTGTATTTCTTTTGAGAGGAGGGGAAGACACTGCATAGTCTTGAAGATCTGGGTACACAGTGGCATGTGCTCTAAGGATAGTCTCCACCTATTAACACCTCAAATTCAGATTGTTTTTCTGACCTCTAGTGAGTACTGCAGATCATGGAACTATCTATAACAACCCTCAAATCTCAGTTTGGATGGATTAAGATCAGATCAGTGCTCTTTATTTAATTTGTGAATTTGGGATTTTCTTTTTACTTTACATTCATCTACACTGAATTTTTTCTGACATTTTATTGCTCAGTCATTGAGGCTCCTTCTGCAATTCTTTTCTGCCCACACTTTTCTCTGCTGTCCTCAGATACCGTTGCAGATTTTGTCCATCTCGTGGTTTATCCTTTTTCCCAGGTTGCTTACAAATATGTTGGATAATGTAGGTCCAGCTCAGACCTCTGCAGAACTTCACTGTGAAAGTTGACAATTTAATACTATACTCTATTTATTTTTTATCTTTCAACCTCTTATTGTTCTGTGCCAGGGACTTCTCTCTTACTTATGGCTGCTTAATTTCCATAATAACCTTATGTGAAGTTCTTTTCAGAAGCCTTTGGAAACCCAAACAGACTGTATCAGCCCATGTGCCCTAGCCATATGCTGCTGATTTCTTCAGAGAACTCTAGTAAAGTTGTGAGGCAGGATGTCCCTTCATAAAAGCCATGTTGGGGAATTTCCTGGAAAAGAGTCGGGTTTTTTGCCTATTTTTTCTATAAACTCCACTACCGACACCAATTTCAGACAGTTAATCTGGCATGTCCCCCATAAAAAGGCTCCTGGCATTATAAACACCCAATTCCTTCCACAGAAAACACAGATGCAAAGAATTCACTTGGCTTTTATAATGACCACTTCTAGACATATGCCACAAATTAAATGCAGTCACATCTAGACATGAGCCAAAGCCACCAAACAAAAAGCTCACAGATCAAGAGCTCTGGTGCAAGCTGATCTGCGAGGACTCTATAGTTGAGCTCTGGAGAATTTAGATACAAAGGCTTCAGGTATTTCAAATTCCAGTTTAAGACTCTACCACATCTGAAGGTAGGTAAACCCAGAACTGGAAGAACAGAACGTATCCACTCCTCAGCTGCCCTAGTTCAGAAAGCTATGTAAAGACATGAATAAATGATAATGGAAAGAAGCTGATTCTTCATCTCTTGCTTTTCTATAAAATACATTAGGCTACCAAGCAATCCCAAGTAATTGGGTTTAGTGCAAACACTATGGATGAAATACTGTGGGCTGCAATATATAGAGACTTCTCTGGAGCTGAAATCTTTTGAGTGCCAGGTAAATAACCTCCAAAAATGTAAAAGAAACAGGCAATTTTTAGAAATGTGGGATTTACTTTTTTGCTTGCTCAAATAATTCCAAATTTAGACAGCAACAGTGCTAACAGCCCCATCCAGATATACCCAACTTCTGGACAAGGCTAAGCAGTCTGTGGACTTTTCAGCACTTCTAACCTTTAAGCAGTAGGAAACTACTTGTATCCTGCTGTAACTATCATCTAGTGTTTTAAAATACTTCCCAGACATAATCTAGTTAATATTTACAGGAAATACGCATACTAAAAAACAGGCTGCATTTGAGCATATATGAAGTCCGTTAGTCATGTAAGTAAATGTCTCTTATTACATTACAAACCTTGCTGTTTTCTCTACTCACTGGTAAGGGTTTTTCCAGTCTAATTTCCCACACATCTGAGTGTCATGTAATCATGTCATATCCCACCTAGTGACCTGGTAAGGAATTGCAATTTATTATTTTGATAAAGCTTACCAATGCTAAATGCAGCAACAGCATGTATGTATAGGTCTCTAGACACACTTCATGGCTGTGTTGTAAAAATGCAGCTTATTGATTCACTCTAGATACACTTCACACAGAATTTGCTTTTGTGGCTGTGGGTATGTTACTCACTTCTCATTAATCTGGATATAAGGATCCTCACATCTTACTGGGTCTAAACATTTATATTCTCCTGGGATATTGAAACATGTTTGCTGTGGAGTGCAGGTGAAGTTTCTGGTTTCACATTCATTGATATCTAAAATACAAGAAACAAGAGAAAGGCTAAAGCAGGGAAATACGTGCAAGACAGCACTCTTACCAACCCATTTCCATCTTAAGGAACTGCCTTAAAATTCATAACACTCTTGCACCATGAGAAATGGCCTTTTGATAACTGGCCCCCCTTTTAAGATCAATTTTTACTCCATTCATTTCTCCTTATTGGAGAATAATGGCACTCCCATATGCTAAGTGCTGCAAAAATAGAAAAGAAATTGGCTGCTCAAGCTCTCTGACCTTAGAGAACAGGAAAGCTAGAGAGATGTGCAGCAGAGAGGAGAGCATCTGAGGGCTTTCCTGTGTAGTTGTTTCCTAGTCAGTAAAGTCTTACTTACACCAACACACCAATTCACCTCAGTGGGACTATTCACGTGATGACATTCTTACCAGAATTACATAATTGGCCCCTACGAGTACTTCACTGTGCAATGCCAAGACCAAGAATCTCAGTTCTTGAAAACCTCTTTCCACACACAGAACCTATTTTCTGGTCCCCTGAGGTTTTAATCAGTGCAGGAATGTTCTTACCTTGGCAGCTTCTGTTATCGTCAAGCAAGTTATAGCCCGAAGGACAGCTACAGTAGTAAGAACCAGGCCCGTTCACACATTCATGCTGGCAGAGGAACTCTGAGAAGCTGCATTCATCCATGTCTGCAGTGGTAAAACAAAGTTTAGTGCCTTTGGCTTTACAGTCAAAAGAGCAGTCCCACAGGCAGGTGGCCATCCAGACTACGTGCCCATCACCCCAGCTGGAGGTTGGCACCCTCCGGCTCCCTAGAGCTCTGCAGTAACCTGGCAAAATGCTATACAACAAGTTCTTGGTTAAAGATTTTTCTCCTAGGGAAACCTAAGCTGCTGCTGAACACAACGTGTGGCTTTTATTTATTTATTTTTCTTTTGGAATACCTGTCACCAGTTGGCCATGTTTTCAGTTCTGTTTTACGTCAGAGATAGAGCTACTCCAACAACAAAGCTGCAACTGCAATTTGAAAGGAGAGACTTGGCAGTGGATTTTTTTTTCCTCTCTTTTTTCTGGAGAGCAAACTTCCCTTTCCCAGGGCCACATGGGTCCCAGCAGAACTCCTGCAGCCAGCCCCGGCTGTTTTATGTTTCTGAGCCTCTAGCCAGTTACTTCCAAGGCATTCCAGCAGACTACAGAGCTCATCCCAACTTGGGTCAGACCTACTGGAAGGCCCGGCCGTCTCCCAGATACCCAGGAAGCTAAGCAGTCAGTCAAATCAGAGCTCATCCCAGCTTGGGTCAGATCTACTGGAAGGCTCGGCCATCTCCCAGATACCCAGGAAGCTAAGCAGTCTGTCAAGTCTCTGACTGAACACAGAAACTGTGCTTTTTTTCCCCTTGCACTGATGAATTGACCAGTCATTGTATTCTGCAGAATCGTGCTCAAGCGACAAAAGACGAACTTCAGAGCTGCACATGGAGGCATGGCTGACTGAGAGGAAAACACATGCAAAGGCGCTAGACTGAGGGAGGCTGCAGTTAATCATTTCCTTATTTCCCTGTTCAGGGGAAGAAAGAAACAAAGGCCAGAGCCCCAGCCAGGAACTCCCAAGTTCTTATTCCCAGCTCTGACATGCTGACTCTCCCAGGCAAATCACTTTTACTCTTCAGACTGAACTTCCCTTTCTTCTAAACTGGGCTCAGTTCATTTATCCACTTTTGGTGGTTTGTGCAGATGGATTGGAAAGTATTTGAAGTCCAAATATGTTAAAGTGGCTTTATGGCTGCAACCATATTATCAAAAGGGAGATGAAAGGAACTCTACACCTGCATAGTCCTGTTCACTGAAAAAAAACCCTTCCTGACAAAACATGGACCAAGGGCTGACTCCATAAAAGGACTGAGATGTCACCCACCCCGTCGAGGTGTCCTAGCCCAGATCTCCAGCACATCAGAGCCATATAACCTGTGCTCAGCTGCTGTCAAGTGCTGGAGGCACTTAAAGCCCCGAGGGTCCTAGATTTCTGCTGCTGAGCCCTCACAGGACAGACACACCTTTTCTGTTCCTAAACACATCCAGCATTCTGCTGACTACCTGCAGAGGACAAGATGGTAAGCCTTTCAGAACACATCTAACGCACATGCAAGACCTCTGTGATTAGAAAATAATGCCAACATTGGGAAACCCAGGTTGAAATCTCTGCCTCTGTCCTTGAATTGGGGCAGGGATGCATCCCATCATTCAAGGTAAGCTCGCTGCTAGGCCATGGTCCAATTCAGCAGCTGTTGAAGTACATCTGGATCCTGGGTGTCTCATAGGAATGTCCTTCTAACGAGGCATTCCCTTTGCAAGCCCCAGCAATGTCTAGTGATTGCTTGTGAAGTGAAAGAAGCTCATCCAGAGAAATTTGACCTGCTTTGACAAGCATTTTCTTGCACAGAATTGTCAAGAAAAGGTTTTCTGCTCTAAATCTGGGTGGTGGAAAGTCCCTTTTGCTGACTTAATTCTCAGACACGAATGAGGCTCAAGCACCACCTCTTCTGTCACTATTTTGTATTGGCAATGTTTATGTGGCATTGCATTGAACTTAACTGGTTCAGGCCCCCAACTAGCTTGGGAGCACATAAAAAGGTGCAGGAGTCTAACTTAGAAGCAGAAACTCCATTAGAAAGCAGAAAACTCAAGTTAGGTGTTGCAGCTCTAAATGTTAAATGCATAAGACCCTTTAGAGATTTAAGTCTTTGTTCTTTCCCTTATAATAAGGGAACAGCTTTCGAAACACTAATCTATACACATACTGCACATCACATGTCCTCTGTCTCAGAAACAGCATGTTACATCTGTTTACTGTAAATTAAAAAACAAGTATTTTCCAGTCCATTTTTTCTTCCAAGAAATATTGGCGGGATTCTCTATTTTATCAAGCTGTGGGAACGTTAAGCACAGAAATGTGTTTTGCCTTCAATTAAAACAAAGCAATAAAATAAAAACAAAAACAAGAGAGGAAAAAGTACAGTGACATCAGCACAGTTTCTTCTGCTATGTGCTGAACAGATTAGCAATAGCTGTACTAAGAAACCATATACTGTTTCTGAAGTGTAGCCAGAGCCATGCAGGGGAAACTGGGGAAGGTTTCATGCAGAAGTGTGCAGTTGTAAGAGCATGAGAAATATATATATTCAACAGACAAATGGAAAAGTGCTTTATATAAAGTATTTCTTTAATCATGGAAGAATGTCCTAGGAATATCGCTACTTTACTTGCTCTAATAAAGCTTCCTGTTCAGCATTGCAAAGCGTTTTCTTATGTTTTGCTGTTATCTTGGAGCTTTTTAATATTTAGCTTATTTCTTTAAAACCATTTGCAGCCCTCCTCCATTGTGCTTTTCTGAGTATTTGCTGTGTGCTATAACTGGAAAGATGATCATATGAGTTGCAGCTATCCTGCTGCTAATCATGGACCAAGGCAAAAGCTTTTAAAAAAGCATGTACAAAACAATACACTGGAAAAAGAAAACTTAATAGAATTAAAGAAACCAACCAAATAAATAACTAAAGACAGTTACCACTGCAGTTAACTCCATCAGCTTCCAGTTCGTAGCCAGGTTCACAGCGGCAGAGAAAAGAGCCGTAGGTATTGACGCAGGTCTGAGTGCAAGGGTTTTGGCTTGTACATTCGTTCATATCTATGGGAAACCAATGCCCAATGCATCAGTGACTTCTCCCCAAACTCAATTTTCAATTCATTACTGTAAAGCATTTCAAAGAGATTAGCTGTACAGTCAGAATTATTTGTTCTGAAAGAAATATAACCAAGTCAGTATTGTTTCTTGGGATTCAGGCTGATGCCTGGAAATAGCGTGTTGGAAACACAACATGCGTGGAAATGAAGCATTTTGGGAATGTCTTCAATCAAAAAAATAGCATGGAAGATGGGGATGAAATATTTACTACAAATGCTTCTGTCTTTATCCTGCAATTTTAAAACCATTGAACTGATTTTGTCATAACAGACCTGACACAAAATGCAGCAGGATATTCCTGAGGAAGATAATGCAATGAGGAATGGTCCTCATGGAAACCTAGGGCTAAGACAAAACCATATTTTTTTTCCTTTTAGGACACTAGCAGCTTCTGGACATCATTAGCACAGACCATTTCCTGCAGCATGTGGGAAGATGCTCCCTGCTTAGCTAGGGAGAGGATTTATGAAGAGGTTGTGTTGACTTTGATTGAGGTAGCACATGACAGCAAAAGGTGGGCTAATGCTCAGGACCCTAGTCTGGAACTTGGGAGACTCAGATCTAATTTACTGATCTGACAGACTTTTCCTGTCTTGGGTAGGTCGCACAGCCTCAGATTTTAAAATTAATTTCAGTGCCTAAGCTCTTGTAATTTCAGTGAATTGAGTAACTCTATATTTTAGGGGGCTTGGGCCTCTGTGCGTATTTCTCCTGATACACACTGGTCATGTTGCACCTGTACCCCTCCGAGGTACTGTGAAACTACAGAAATATCTCAGGCTGACAAACCTATGAACATTTTCAAAAGCAATGATGGGAAGGTTACTTGTATTCTAAAAACTAAGCAAGTTTTAAGGCTGTTGCTGGGTTGGGACCAAAGATTTCAGTCATGGGTTACCATACACAGTACCTTGGCATGATCTTCCATCATCATTAAGGGTAAAGCCTGGGTTGCACGTACAGGAGTAGGAACCGGGCACATTGGCACACAGCTGCTGGCAGTAGCCGTAGCGACATTCATCTATATCTATAGATGGGAAAGATGAAAAGTAGAGTGGTCTGCATTTTCACATGCAGGTACAAAGCAGCAAACACACTGAGTCAACAGTACCAACAACACAGACATGACCCAGCGTACTGCTTACGGATATAACAGCCAAACTTTCAAGTGTTCAGACCCTGAGTTATAGCTGAAATACATCTCTACCCAGAAGAATGTACTAATGTGTTTTTTCTCCACAGCTGACATCTATCAGTATGTCCAATGAACTGACTGTTGTTGCTGTAATCTTCAGCTTAATGTGATGTCACCAGGAAGCCCAGAGTCAGTCCCTTTAAGCAGCTACCTGGAAGCATACCTGGTACCTGACACAGCCCCTCAGCACAAGCACAGGCAAAGTTGTAGCAAAGTTTTGTCAGAATCAAGATAGAAACTTTTTTCACCTCCACATATACCAAAGCTACTCACTGGAGAAGCAGCAAGTATTTGTTACTAAATACTTCTTTTTTTAGAGAGGTTATTCTTCAAAGACTTTTTTTTTAATAGTCACATTCATATTTTATATAAATTTTTAACTGACAAGTTATAGACTCTAAAATGTAAACAGTAAATTTGATGCCAAAATAGCAGTTTGGGCTGAATTGCAGCATTAGCAATACATGCAACTGACTGTTGTAAACACAAGAAAATGCTAAGATATGTATGATGGTAAATGCTAGAAGAATTTTGCCCCTGGACTAAGAACTGGAATGAAACAGCTGGAACAGGTGTCCTTTCCAAGGCTTTACCCTTACTGCTTTTGGTATCAACTGGCTTTTGATTTATGGAGATTTTTTTAATGGCTACTCTCAAAGCTTTGAAGTTAAGTTTGTGCAGTAGAAAACCAAGTGTATTATCTCCAGTCAGTTTGCCAGAAGAAGCAAAGCAGGAAAACACAGATTTTGCTGAAATGACCCCCACCGTAGGTTCCAACACACATGAAAATCAAAATGGCAGTATTCTCCCTACGGTTACATATATATCTGCATGAGTTCCAGCAGTTCATTATTTGTTAGCTAAATTGGCTGCTTCCTGTTTTAGTGTTAAATATTAATAATGTGTTGGGAAACTGAATTCTTGAACAACTTGAACATTTATATGATGTGGTAAAACCATAAAAACAACAATGTTGTGAATCTGTTGTATAAGTAGCTACATCCTGCAATTCAAGTTTATGTTATTGGCCTCATTGGGGCAGTTTTGCCATAGAAAGTCTCAGGAAACCATTCTGAAAATGTCAGATCTTGGAAAGACTCTCTCTGTGTAAAAAAACAAGGACACAGACACTGAGGTTTACCCCTACTAGCTTTTATTTCCCACTGCATTCTAAAAAGCAAGATAACCTGAAGGCCAGGGTCAGCTATGGCACGTACACCAGCAGTAGGCTTGGCCCAAATCCTGCAAAAAGTGACATGGGTTTTAAGTAAATTAATCCCTCATTTCACTGACACAATGCATTACTTTAAATACATGCTTTGGCTTTTGCAGGACTGTTAACTCCAGAGTGCTACATTTTGAGGATAAGGACTTCTACAGGGCTGCTTCTTGTGGGTGGGTCATGTGGATACTGCTGTACTGGGCTCCTCCTGTATAAACTTTACTGGGATAATTACAACAGATAGAAGTGTAGCTTTTTGTAACTGTGGTTTACTAACAGTGCACCAAAAAAGCTCGTCTCTAAAACCCAACCCAGCCCTCTGATCACAGTAAATGGTCTTTTACTCCTTTACGCCAGCAAAAATCACTTCTCCAAGACCAGTGGAAAGTATGGAAAACTGAGACTTTTTTGACACTTAGGGAAAATACAGCAACTCTCAACACAATTTGCTTTCAGCTCTTTGCATTGCCTTGTAATAATCCACCCCGTGTTTATTTCAAGTGGGCAACACTGGGACGTTATTGCCTATTTTAAATAGCATAAGCAGATACTCAAATCAATTCAGCAATGCAGCCATTTCATTTCTCTGGTATATCCATCAAGCACTAAAGTTCTTTAGATCCATGTCCAAATCCTGAATGCTGCACACAACCCTTTCATTTGGGCCATAACTGGGAGAAGTAAATGGGTAACAAAAGAGGTGATGCAGAGCATCACCTGCCCTCCCTCATCCCCACACCATCACGTACGCCTGTACAACCCCCGCCACAAGCTTTTTTCCCTGAGAGAAGAGGAATTACCAGAGATTAAGGAGCAGGGGGCTTGGAGAATTCACATCCTAGGGGAACTACAAGACAGTGATTCCCCAAAGTGGCTACGGCTGCACAGACCCCAGCTTGGACGAGGCTCAGCTCTGTCCCTGCCAGGTGAGTTACACAGCAGCTGTTTACAGTAGTTAGGAAAGCATCCGTGAGTCAGTCCTTTGCTGGAATTGGTGCTTGGGAGGAGAAAGCTGGAAAATAACTGGAGAGGCTCCAAGGATGAATGGGCAGGGAAAGCCCGTTCTCCTTCCAGCAGAGGTGTTGTGACAACACGGTCCAGCTCCACAGAGCTGGCAGGCAAATAGCCTGTGCCGAGGGGAAAAAAATAATAATGAGCAAACTTTAAAAAAAAAACCCTGTTGTATCCTATCTCCTAAGTCCTATCGGTGTACCTAAAATAAACATCTACTTCATCATCCCATGGGCATGTCAAGTGAAGGGAATGGGCTGGAGGAGAGAGGAGCTGTAAGGTTTTCCTGTGCTGTTTATTGAGGGATGGGGTTTTTTAACAGGGCTGAACGGGAGATTGCTGCAAAGAAGATAATAAAATCAAAATAAAACTACTTGGAAGCTACTGAAACAGCACCCAGTTCAGAGGTAATTTTTTTTTTCTCACCCCCAAGCAAAAGGGTTGGCTGAATCTAAGGATTTACTGGCCTGTTTCTTGGTATCAAATACTGCTCCCTTCAGGTCCAGACTGTCATGGTGTGGAAAGGGCGGGTCTGTTTGGGAATAAATCTTTTTGTATGCATGCTTGTGATTAATCTTATATGAAAGGGAATCCTTCAGACTGGGAATATGAAAATCCCACGTGTTACATGGATGCTAGTCATATGGCATTTACATCTACATTTTTGTTCTGCGAGGGAGTCTCTCTGCCAAGCATACCATTGGCACTTACAAAGATGAAAGACAGTTTCCACGTAGCCGAAGGTTTAACCGTGTACTTGACAAAGATGCTCAGTGATGTTATTTCAGCTATTCACAGGTACACGTACACAGATGCTCAAATACCATATCGCATGAGGTTTTTACCTAAACACTGGCCTTCTAAGAGCCAGTAGCCTTCAGTGCAGGAACAGGTATAGCCCCCCTCAGTATTTATGCAGATCTGGGTGGGGTTACACTGGTGAGAATCTGAAGCGCATTCATCCACATCTGCAACACAGAAATACAGCGAGAAAATATTAGAAATGGCAACAACAAAAGATTGTTCACACTGTACAGGGACTTGCATTCACAATGTGTACACTGGCTTTGTGCGAGGAACCAAAGTGTGGTGGAGTAGACAGAATGACCATAACCTGGAGTAAAATTCATAATAATAAACGTCATAAAGGGCAGTGAGAACGGGGGGTGCTCATCAACTCTCTCCCTTCTGCAGGTGGCCCAGTGTTTCTCAGAGCTCCTCAAGAAAGGGATCGCATTACCTCGAGCTTTTTATTACTTCCACATTTGCTTCATCACTGAACTGCAATTTCCATGCTATAGGGCAGTGTTCAGCCCTAGGGAAAGGCTACTGAAAGGGCTATATAACCCCACTGCAGAGTAAGAGATGAACAGGAGTTTGAGAGATGTACAAACACAACTCAGACATGTAAAAAAACCTACTTCCTACCCCCACCGATGCAGATTATCTCACTGACAGAAGGTTCAACCAAAATCAACCTTTACCTGACAAAAAAAAGGTATACTTCCCTGGAATCAATTTCCTGACAATAAAACTCTCTTCTTTTTATTTTTTTTTTACCATCTTTATTGTTTTTAATGTATTTGGGTTTTTATTACAGCCCTTCAGGGTGTTTTTGTTGTGGGCTTTCTCCCCCTCCCCTCCAAAGGAGGTGAATAGCATTCCTACATTTATATAAGCCACGAACCTGGAACCTAACTGATTAAAAATGCCTTCAGAGTCAGAAGTTCAATTTGAATCCCTTCTTGCTCAGTCTCTTCCCTGATGTTTCTGGTGTCGGGTTTGCCTCTAGATGTCAGAAATGGAAATATCAAAAGATGAATTGTGTCATTTTTTCAGCCAACTCCGATTTTTATGTTTTATTTGTTGATACCTAAACTATTTTTTATTCCAGCATACTGTGCGCTGGCCTTTGCTGAAGTATTATGCCATCCAAACAATGCTGCTCCCTTGATCCCCCGCTGATTCTTATTAACCCAGACTTCATTGGGTCATGACTGAAAGTATCTCACAAATGCTCTGGGCTGGAGCAGGCAGCAGAGGGCAGGAATTACGTCTCAGTATCTGCCCCTGAGGCACCTAGCACAGCCAGTCAGCTGTGAAATCCCAGCAGTCATGAAATAACTGATCCAATCTACCACAGCAGCATATCTAACATGCTCAGATATATAAATAAATACATACTAGAGTCTAGAGTTCTTATCTTGCCAACATCTGTACAAGACCAATTTATGGTGAGTCAAAGCTGGTAAGATAACAAGAGTGGCACAATTAGAGGTAATTAACTGTGTCGGAAATCGGTTCCCATGTATTTATTGGCCAGATGAAGGTTGGCAAAATGGTGGGGGAAGTGGGAAAGAGCTAAGATAACAAGTCTAGACTATATAGGTACATAGATATGTTGTTCAGTTCAGCTATTGCTTCTGTGATTGGGCTAAAAATTCTGGATCCTCCCTTCATAGAGCGTAACACACATAATTGGTAGTATTTGAACACAGATTTTATCTAAACATAAATTTAGTAAGAATGACATTAATGTTTTTTAAATTAAAAAGCTTTCTATTTGTCATGTTTGCTTATTGTTTGAGGAGTGGGATCTTGCGTTCTGGCCAATTCTGCTGTTTCTAGCCTACCGCAAGCTTAAAAAGGAGATTTTAATTTTCCATGCTCCCTGCTTCCAGTAACATTAATAGGTGAAGCACAGTGGAGATAAAATAAGGGTCAGGGTCTTACCACCACATATGGTAGCAATACTGTTTGAAGACTATAAGTCCTCCACTCTTCTGTGGTGCTTCTTTCTTGCAGGGGTACAACATGCATCCTTCACCAAAAGCAACAGGTGGCTATTGGATCGGTTTTGTTCCTGAGCCATATTTGTAGCAGTTGCATGAGCAGCAGTACAATCACTTTGGAAAAGCAAGACTTCGATCCTCTTTTCTTTGCTATCTACCAAGCAGATTTCTTTGCTTAATCCCAGTCTTCACTTTTTGTGGTGGTATTGGAGACATATTTCCATTTGAACACAAAATTTTTACAATGGAGGCTACCTGTGGAGTTTCTGCTGTCCCTAGAAAACCTGATCAACCTGAAGTTGTCTGTGCAGAACAGCTTGACTCCCCACATTTTACACAGAATAATACCTTATTCACTTCATTGATGAATTTTTATGCAACCAACAAGTATAAACAGCTTTACTGATAGCATCAAATCTTTTTGCTTGGGCCTGAGCACATACACCCAGTTCTATATTACATGTCTCTGGCTTTCTCTAAGATTGCTCCTTACCATGATGCACCGTCAAATTCTGACAGACCCAGCCAATGCAACCAAATCAATTATTTTTGGCAAGCAGCCTTCTCAGTTCAAACAGCTATATCCCAGCCTGTCTGCCAAGGATTATTTACATTACATGGGCTCACTAAGTGAAAGCTGATATTTGCACATTCAGAAAAATGTCAGTGCAACAATTGGCTAACCATTAGGTATCCTCTTGAAGAATATCAGAGCTGGGAGACAGAGGGTGCCTTGCCCAGCCCATTGACACAGTGAAAACTGGTGTGGTTGATAAAGTCAAAACTAGACATTTAACAGGGAAAGGAAAATAAAAAACCCAAATTATTTCCACTGGGGAGAAAACTAACCATAAAACTTTGAGAGATTGCCTATAATGGATTCACTAGACTTAAGTGCCAGCATAGAAACTATATCAAAACACTCCTAGGGCATTTTTGGTTGGGTGGAAAATTGTAAGTGGAAACAACCTGACAGCTAGTCAATAATGTGTAAATCATTTCTTATTCTGGTTGCAGAACTTATTTCTGTCCCATTCAAACATAAATCCTAGGTGTGGTCATGTTCTGGGAATATCACTTCAAAGCTCATTCGTACTACCTCTGCCCTTGTGATGGATCATACACAATACTAAAGTAAAACTGTGATGCTAAATGTACGTGATACTAAATTGTCAATAGTTTTGTAGCTTCAAAGCAGATAAGGCAAATTCAGAGAATAAAAAATTGTAAGGACTACTCAATACAAGGATAGCACATGTGTCTAAAAAGTCCCTGAGATGCAGTTTTCTGGAGCCTGGAAGAGTGCCTCTGACCTAGCATAACTCGTGTTCCAATCTTCACTGTGGAGAGAAATACTGCAATGAGTTGTCTGAGCCCCACAGTAAAGTCTAATCAGCTGGAGAGCAGAAGAATTACTAAAGCGAAGTAAGCTAGCCAGAAACCCTAGAAACCCCACTGCCATTAACCCCATTCAAGGTGTTAATAGATTGTGATATTTGATGATTTCGGCATCAGTACCATGAAAGCATCAGGTGGTGTCACCCATCACTGATATCCAAGGATGGTTTTCATTATACTGAACCTGCTTTTAGTACCTTTCGTCACCAAGACCCTTAGAAAACATTACCTGCATCCCAAGAGCAAGTCTAGGTTTTACTAATAGCTAGTGTTATTGAATACCTTTGATTTTGGTTAGATTACTCCATATGTGGCTACAAGAAGAATTGCCATGAGGTGATCTAGGAAGCAAATACAAATTAGATCTATCCTCAGTGAAAACAGACTAAGGTGCCTGTAGTCACTATGCAGGACAAGGAACTGGCACAGTGGCAGTGACCACACTGTAACTCATGTGCTAAGAATATACCCTGTGGGAACTCACCCGTACTCTTCATCCTCCACTGCCCTGCTTCCTATTTGAAAAATGGGGATAACAAAATCTCTGCCATAGTCCAGCCTCCCTCACTGTTTAGCACCTAAAACTATTTAGGGTAGGGTCTGTCCTCTTATATACAGAGCCAGCTCACAATTAGTCCATTTTTATTTGAAGCCTTCCAATCCTAATACAAATCAAACTGTACTATGAAACCCTGCAATGTCCCACTTGGTAATAAATACCAGTGACCACGGATTTTTAATCAGGAAATTCAGGACTAAGGAATTCAAGGACTAGCCTGCGACCACTCAACAAGACAGATGCAAGAACAGGTCACAGATATTTCCAACCTGTCGTCCTTCATGTAGCCCCATACAACCTGCCCCTATTATATGAACACTTAAAGAGACGACTTCTTCAGAAATTTTGTGCAGCCTCTACATTGGCTAATGAGATCTAAAGTAAAAAGTTAACCATCATTCTGAAAGCATTATGTTTTACCAGGAGACCTCAGAGACATCAAAGGCTCTTTCAGCTAAACCCTATGCTACTCACAATGTTACTGTTCTAGCCTAATGGTGCATTGAACCTCAAAGTTTCCAGTAGTTACTGAAACAGAGAGAACTATTGACACAGTCAGTGGCAAATTGAAAGAATTACCAGCTACCACACCTCTTCTTATCCTTTGAGACAGGACTGGGGCTGTTGCTGTGAAATTACATATGAAAACAAGAGGATGTTAAAGATTGTCATACCTAATAATTTTGAATAAGTCCAAATTTTCCCAAGTGACTAGTGACTCTAGGTGACTCAGCACTTAAGCTGTTCAGCACTGTTCAGTGCTGTTCAGCACTTAAAACCACACTGGAGAACCAAGGCAGGGCAGGATGGATCCCTGTTCAAAACTTCTCTTGCCAAGGAGTGCTAGGCCAACACTGGCCCTGGATGTCTTGGCTCTTGATTATGCTGTTGAGTGCTATCAAATCAGCAGTCATCTATATGCTCTCATCCATCCTTCCAGTTGTTGTGTTCACATTGCTGCTCCCACAGCTAGTTCCAAGGGCAGAAGTTCAGGCAGAAGTCCAGACTGAAATTAAAATTTGACCTGAAGTGGGAACGATTCACTTTTTGTTACTTCCCAACCGAATACTGAGAGCAACCACATGGCCTGTCCAGACCACTGCTCTCTGCCTCCTAAGAAATACCACCTAGAACAAACACAGAGCCTCATGGCTCAAAGCCATGAGTTTTAAAGATCTTTGGTTTACTGACTGAATGAGAGAATAGGTAGGCAGCACCT